ATATGAGATTTCTGTAAACAGTAAGACTGAGTTTAGGTGTTTTATTTTTTTAATCAATTACTGATTTAATTGCTGTACATGTACCACTTGTTTGTCCCTACAGAATTCAGTCCATCTAAATAATTTTTTTTTCTTGGTTGTTCCATCCCCTTTCAATAAACTGTGGTACTAATACAATGAATGGTTATACATATAACACCATGCCATTTGGGATTATCATATGACATACATAAATTAACAATTACTTATGAATATGCAAATTATCCTCATAGTATCAACATCTGTACATGCTGTTATTGTCTCCATAGTAACTGTTATCCAATACCATGAGGAACCCTTGACAGTGCACTAATTAGCCTGACATAACATTTGTTAAGTAAATTTTTAGGTTAATTGACCAAGCATGTTTCAGTTTCCTCTCTCTCTCTTTGTTGGCTGAGAGATCTCCCATTTTTACAGAAAACCTTTACAAGCATTTCTTGTCTCCTCAAACTCAACCCGTGTCATTAACATTGTATTCTTGATCTAAAACAATCCAAATTTAAATCTGTACATCATAAACACATTTTGTTTTTTGCATATATTAATGTACATCAATAGGTATGTATAAACATAATTTTAAAGTGCACCATGTTCACCGTTTGAAAAATGAAGACAAATTATTGCTTAGATCCCTGTTTTGCATGGGTACATGCATGTGCAAATAGCATGCCAAAAAGTGTTCAAATTTCAACGCATCAAATATTTAAACATGCACAGATGAGAAAGGCTGGTGACAATGTCAGATTTGCCAATCAAAAAAGCTCCACAGTGACTGCTTGCAAAACAGCAAAAGAAACCTAGACAAAAAACCCGCTAGCATAACACTGCTACTGTTTGTTTACTTTTGTAAATGAACATTTAATCTTTCAATCTCTAGTGTGTTTAGATTCAGGGATTAAAGTGTAACAGGAATTGAATTCAATGTCAGCCCAAAGAACAAAGTTTTCATAATTAAATTACTAGCTTTTGGAATCTCCATCTCTTGACATTTCAAAGAATGTTGAGATTGGATGAGAACTTTAACCTGACATTTGCAATATGTCTTGAAAACCTTTGTTTTTCATTGTCTAATGGAAATAATTTGCATTGAATATGTTCATACAGTGGCAAAAAGACACAATAACATTTACCAAGGTCATTCAATGACCAACAATATCTCTAACCCCTTATAAATCATGCAAACCAAGTGGTCAATGGTCAAGCATTATGATAGTTTGAGTGTCACTGGCATGTATATCTATCGTACTGACTTAGGTACGAAGTGCATGCTCTAAACGATAAATCTTTCTTTTTTGTACATTTGTTTTTTAAACATGTATATATAAACACATCAGTGTGATTCAATATTTTTTGACATCAAAGATTAGCATCAGAGGATTCCCCATGATCCTGCAACTCAGACGAGATACTTTAGACGCAGTGCTGTGTAATGTGGGGACGTTAACCAAGGCTCTTACTTACTCAGACAAGATATTTAGACAGGGTGCTGCATAACGTAGGGACGTTAACGGAGGTAATCTTACATGTAGGAGTTAGAGTCTGATAAGTGGTATAAACTTTTATATGTACTATGATAAATCTCAAAAAAAATTCATCTTTTAGCATGGGCAGCTTTGTTGACTATTTAGTACTGTGGTCTACATGAAGATACCCACCAAAAATATAATTTCACACAGATCTGATGAATGAAAGGACAGGCAGTGCTAATTCATTAGGGCCCTAATTAATCTACCATCAGATCTACATAAATGGCAATTTTTTAAATATATATGCTAAAAAGGTAGACTGCTTATAGTATTCAGACCAGATTGCTAATCAAAACCTTCTGCTCTGAATTGTAATTTTTCACAATTAGTAGGAAGTCTATACATAACACAGTAAAATGTTTAGTGAATCTTGCCCTGCATGCATAAATTTCAACACACTGATAAAGAGAACCATGATTTTGGCTGTTAATAAATTAAATACAGTATTTATTGGAAATATTGAAAAATTTTCAGAATGTACATATTATAATTTTACATTTTTTTTTTTTTGTAGTCACATTAAATCTACAGCTATTTTTATCAATGCTTTGATATAAGTTAACAATTAACTGTGCATGTTCAGTGTACATTATATAACAGGCTTCTTATCAAATTCTCAAAACATCAAATTAAACATGTGCATGATGAATGCACTTATAGTTATGGCACCAAAGCTAATGTTTTGATATTAGAGTAAATTAATACATAAATACCACTGAATTTTATGTCATTTTGCACTAAACTTAAAATATCAATGAAATTTGAGTATATAAATAATAAATGCATTTATCGTAATATTCAGTGAAGGACAGGATTTCATATTGCACATAAACATGTACATGTACGTCAATGGTCAAGGAAATTGACATCACGAAGGAATTTACTCTGACATCAAACATCTGACCTCATTTAAGATCAATAGGATTAAATGTACATGTAATGTATATACCGTAAATCTGGAAATTTTTGCTGTAGATAAATTTTTAGCAAATTTGCGCATGCATTGCATTCGCAAAAATATTTTTCTTAAAAGTAAATCAACAACAAAAAATGTTTCTATCTAAAAATTACTTAAAGATTACATTGTTATATATATTTTATGTACATGTGTGATTTATGAAAATGCTATGAAAACTTTCAACACTTTGGATGATTTGTCTTTGCTGATATTTTTATCTGATTATTGAACGTTGGCGTAGTTTAATATTGTATGTTTATTCGTAATTTATTTATGTACATGCGTTATTTAAAACCGTCTAAGAAAATTTTAAGAGCTTTTTATATTTTAGTTCAAATGACGATTCGCAAAAATTCCAAACGTAAAAATTAATCAACAGACTTTTGACCCAGATTCGCAAAAATAAATCGACGTAAAAATTTCCAGATTTACGGTAAAACATCACTGAATTTATATGTTTTGAACATACATAAGGGGAGATAATTAATATTTCAGAGAGAAATTAGAGAAACACAAGAAGAAAGAGATAAATATGTTTGGAATGTTTTCATAATTATAATTGTCATAGCTATAGGTCCAAGTTGTGCTTCCATCCTTATTTTAAATAAATGACATGAAAAAAGTTTACTTAGGACTTTTTTTTGCTTATAGTTATACGATTATACAAGGGTGTTGAAATACTTATTCTTTACTTCAGAGTCTTATACCTTAGGTAATGATATTTTAAGGAATCATTTTTGTGCAACATGAACACTTAATTCCTGCAGATACCCTGTCCATGTACGTACTGCATATTTCACAGGAAGATCGGACACTGGATGTAACTCGGAACTCAGTAGCATGATTTTAATATATTGTACAAGCACTGCAACTGAATCAGACAGTGATGTTATATAAGGATATATCCTTCTACTGTATTGTACATTGAATTTGTGTGTGAGTGTCGAGTATGAGCTCAGGTACCGACAAATAAATTTGATAGAAGGATGTACAAGTCAACTCCAGTGTGCTCCAAATTTTTTTCAGCACTAGCCCAGTTGGTCTATAGTAATGGCAAAATTTTACTGTTCCAAATAAACTTTTTACTAGGGCTTAAAAAAGTGTGAAAAATAAAATGATACAATTTTATTTCAGTTTTTTAGATTTATTTAACATGACTATATAATATTCAATTTATAAAAGAATAAATTTCTATGAACTTTCTGTACTGGTACTCAGTGACAGTACCGGGTCTCAACTTTTTTGCTCATGTACTTAACATATTTAGCCATTTGAACATGATGACCAAGAGCATGAATTATAAATGACCAAACCAAGCCTGGACAGAGAGAAATCAAACCAGGAATGAAAATCATCAAGAGAGTCTTAAATATTCAATCAAGATAATTTACTTTTTTCAGAAAAATGTTCATTGACATTTTAAAGAATACTGAGATAAAAATACACATATATATACACTGTACATGATATATATGCATATATCACTGAAAATTCTAGAATCGGGCTAGTGCCGACCTACATTTACTTGCACAACTTAATTTTTAATTAGTGTTCTAGCTGGCATCAGGCTATAGTCTTTTTGGCGCGCACTGCAACTCAATTAAACTAAATATAATTAAAAATTGATTAATTTAAATTGTAAATTTTTATACAGCTCTACATTTATGCATCATGAAAATTATAGACATACACTTCCTTTATAGATATACTTGGTAAAATAAAATAAAACTTTCCTCATCAAAAAAACTTATAGAGAGTTGAATTAACATAAATTCATTTTATTTAGCTTCTATGTACATGCATGCTCCATACTTGGGGGACGAGCTACGCAAAAATGTTGCAGTCTAGGTCAATTAATTTAATGTCTGTCCCCATGTGACAGAGTAATTAAGAGTGCCGGTACACCAAGTATACATCTGTCATTACGGCACCAACAACTTCAGAAAATTTTATGTAGTGGAAAATTGGTTTATCTCTTTTGCCACAAAGACCTACATAAGTTTAGCCAATAGGGACCTTCTGTTTGTTAACTAATGAAAAAAAGATCGCATGTTCTGATAAAATGGGAGGAAAACATTAATTGAACATATGCTCTTTTATCACGCAGAATTGTTAGTTTGAACAGAGATAAATATCTGTTGGGTTATATTGTATCATCAGTTCATCACAAGGAATTATTAGGCCAGAAATGAAATAAGTTCAACATACACCATTCAAATCAGTCTGTTACAATTTTCTATACAAAACACCCTGGTGAAATTTTATTGCTTTAACCAGCTTATCAAATTAGACATCCTTGGGGGAAAATTATTCAGAACCTGGAGCAAATGATATTTTTTTTAGAATATGTAGCAAAACATGACTAATAGGAAGACAGGAAAATCCCCTATGTGTCATTGCAATGTCATCTACATGTAGGCCTGAATGTCCTGAAGTCCCAAATTTTAAATAGACAAACGGACAAAAGAACTTACCTGTCCTCCCCTGAGAGTGAAAGACTGGCTTTTCGGAGTAGATCATCTTTTTCCTTCCTTAGATCCTCAATTTCTTGAAACAAAATCTGAAGCTGGGTCTTCTGTTTCAGAATTTCTAGATCTCTCTCCTCCAGTAATGCTATGAGCGCACTCTGGGGCAGGTTCCCGTACAAAACGACGAGATCGCTCATCTCCCCCATGCACTTGACGTTATTCATAAACTCTGGAAAAGTTTGTCCAGGCTACCAAAATATTGACAGCCATGTTAAAATCCTCATGTATTCTCTGATGTCAAATCTTAACCAACTCCAATAGGCAATAACAGGATGAAAAAAATCGATGACACAATTTCTAGCGAGTTTTACACTCACTTCTAGATCCAAACTTCTCAGGAAATATTTTCCCACATCTGTTTATTGCGATAAAACAGAAAATGCGAGTTTTTATGCCTTTAATGTTATACCTTCACGTTTCGCGAGTTTATCTTTCGATGTCCGGAAGTTGATACCTTGTGACGTCAGGTGGTTATGTTATTTTGAGTTGGGCGGATCCTCAAGTTTACTCTTAATATCATGGATAATTTTACGTGACTTGCTTGTATATAATCAGATGAATATGCATTAAAAAAGTCTTCGTATGTATGATGACATGTTTGTTCGTTTGTTTGTGTTTTTAAAACAACTCCCACGCCGAATAAATTATATACCCCCCAAAAAATGGGGGGGGGGGGATGGTAACCTTTATCTCCATAGTGATTATCTCCACAATTTTCTGCAATTTAAAAAATCTGCGAAATTTGAAACGTTTACACTACCAAAATTGTCCACTAAATAACTTCAAGAATCGCTTGATTTTCGCCTGTCATAAAATTTCATTCCTTCGCCAAAGGAGGATCCAGCGCCGGGCGCCCCCTTTGATTTATTTTTTACCATTTATGTAGAACTTACATGTATATGTCCATTATCCTAAAATCAAGGGAAAACACATCTTATTTATAAGAATTCGTCAGCTTGCATCCCCCGAACCCCCACCAGGGCTTTGTCCTGGACCTACTGTCTGGAGGCTTCAATCCAGTCTCAGACCCCCTCCCCCCTGCCTTCTACTGCGTCCCCCTTATGAAATTCCTGGATCCGCCACTGTTCACAATTAATATCGTGTTTGAGTCATAATTCCAAACAGATCCCCTTGCATGATTTATCTTTACTCAAGGCCATATCTCAAAGGTCAGACTCACTGAGATAGTGAGATGTATCCGCGGTCCATAACTCTATAGAAATTAATCTTGATTGAAATAAATGCAATCTTAATTATTATATTGGCTTTGAATCAGAAATATATCAATATCTTGGTTCAAGGTCATATCTCAATCTCAAACAATAGAGGTAAACTCTTATTAATCCGATAAAGATTATATATTCACATGAGGATATTGGCCTACCGGTATGTCAGATTATACTGAAGACACGTCAGTTCGGGTTGTTTCTGAAATACCCATTTATGTCACTAGATAAAAAGCAATATTTAAAAGTTTGTATCATGTATCTTACACACCCAAAAAAATAAAAAATGACGAGCACCTTCTATCATTTCTTATACATATTATGCAATATGCACATAATTAAATGAGATGATATATTGATTGAGGAACTCATTGTCTTAGTTTTGCATTTTTGTTTAGAGATAATGTGAAATTTCAAAATTATTATGGGATGGAGATATTTGCTACACTATATATAAGCTTATAGATATGCCATTTCTGGCTTTAGAACCAAGAAAATGTGTAGCTTTTTGAAAGTTTTCAGGCTGCATTTCGAAACACATGATATTGCATTTTAGACACACTTTTCCATTGACAATAAAAATTATGTCAATGAGAGATAAAATCATATCCAATGACAAACCATGGGATATCCAATATATACAGAGATTTCCTTCTCGGAAACTCAAATGTGAAACAATGTGAATAGAGAAGTAATTTAAATCCATCTACATGTACACTTACCAATGTCTCAAATTCTCCAGAAGTATAGATAGAAGTAAATATGGAAGATTATTCAAAATATATGCCGCGCAATTTTGCTCTTTTCCTGTCAGTTACTGTGGTGAGATTTTCAGTTGGGGGGGAGAGGGGTGGGGAGCACTTCAAATGTCATCGGACGTTATTATTGAGGAAACACTTGTAAGCATAAACTCGCTCTGTTTTCTATAGTTTGCTATATATCGAAAAGACTTTATTCACCAAAACGGGGAGGGAGGGGGGGGGGGGGGGTGGTGGTGGCGTGGTAAACCCAATTTCATTCTTCCGTTCTCTGTTTTTATACTTGATTATTGTAGAATTTATTTATTTCTTTTTTCATCATCAAATCTTTTTAATTCTTTTTTTTTTTATCTAATGATAATATGTAAAATCTATACATACTTCTTATACAACGATGTCACAAAACATTTTTACCCACTGGAAAAATGACCCAGGCCAATATTTAACGTTGAAATCCTGTATGAATTTTTTTACTCTTCACCTTTGAAATATGAACCGTGGACGACCATGAAATCCTAGTCATATTTCCACGCCATACAGATAAATGAGCAAACTTAAAAAAAATGTTTTCATGATAAAAAATTTTCAGTTTTAATGTGCCACAGACCTTTGATTTTGAAATAAGGACGAGGTCGTAGGCATAGGAAGGCACAGGAAAGGCTGATATTGTCAATTTAAAGCAAACAATAAAAAAGAGGCCCATGGCCACATCGCTCACCTAGCCACTTTGGTTAGGCCCGGATACGCAGAAATCAGTTCAGTACTGAAAAGTTAAAAAATATGAATGGTCCCATCCTACTCTGGGGGTTGATGATGTGAACAAAATTGCCTCCATATCAATATGGCTAATTATGGTTTTGTTGTTCTTGAGAGGAAGATTTTGAAAGATTTTTTCCAATATATTCTCATGTAAAACATTGATTGCCTAATGTGGCTCCAACCTACCCCTGGGGGTCATGATTTGAACAAATTTGAATCTACAATAACGGGTGCTTCTGTATTATTGTGACTAATCAAGGCCTTGCTGTTCTTTGGATATAGATGTTTGATGAAGATTTTTCCTACATAATCCTACGTATAATTTTGATACCCTGTTGTGGCTGCACCCTATACCCGGGGGTCATGATTTGAACAAACTACTATGCCTATGTAATGAAGCCTTCGGCTCAGGTTCGCTAAAAATTACATAAACTTTTTGACTTCAAAAATCATTACTAATTATATATTTATCACTACATGTATGTAGATTTGCGTTTGAGCCTTGTTAAATCATAAATAAACACGGTGTTATACTCGGATCTTTGACTTAAACTTTACGATGTGTATGTTGAGGAGAGCTTAGTATTGCATGATTTCGGCATATGCATGTTTGTCTGTTACAAATACGAATCTTAAATTGACTGCAACGGATTCAAACTTAACGTAGTTTCCACAGTCACAATTATTTACCTTGCCTCTTCGTCTTTCGTGTATCTTGAAGGTCAAGGGCATGTACATCAAGGTCACTTACTGGAGTATACAGATGTTTTTTTTGTTTTTTTTTTTTTTGTTTTGTTTTGTTTTTAATTTTTATATATACTGAGTATATTTTAAAATACTAAATACAAAAGTTTGGAGAGACCAACTTCAAGGCCGTAACTACCATTGAGGCAAGTGTTCGGATAGGGCCACTTGCAAAAGCTCAACAGTGCGTTCAGAAAAAACACGACATCGCGCTAACACACAACACGCCATCACGCTAACACACAACATGCCATCGCGCTAACACATCATTGAACAACACGCCGTCACGCTAACACAAGTTCGCACAACACGCCGTCGCGCTAACACACAACACGCCGTCGCGCTATCACAAAGTTGTGTTAGCGAGTTGTGTGACAGCGCGACAGCGTGTTGTGAAAAGTTGCGTTAGCGCGATGGCGTGTTGTGTGACAGCGCGACGGCGTGTTGTGTAGAGTTGTGTTAGCGCAACAGCGTGTTGTTTGAAAGCGTGTTAGCGCTACGGCGTGTTGTGTATAAGCGCAAAGACGTGTTTTGTATGATTGTGTTAGCGTGATGGCGTGTTTTGTGTGTTAGCGTGATGGCGTGTTGTGTGTTAGCGCGATGCCGTGTTTTTCTGAACGCGCTGTTGAGCTTTTGCAAATGGCCCTATCCGGACACCATATAAAACCCATGTTTCGTGACCCCCTCCCCCGAGAACCCCCATCAGGACACTACCCTGGACCAGCTTGGGACTTGGATGGCCCCAGGTCCCTTGCTTCTCTAAAAAAAATTGAGCTTAGTTACGGCCTTGAACTTTGGAGGAGCAAATGATTATATAATTTTGACAGTTAGGCCAAGACTAGCTACAAAATTAAAACTGTATGGTCCCTAGGTCCGTAGCATCATAATTAGCATATATGCTATATTTTTATTTTTGATGACATTTTTTTTTTCTTAGGATAACATAGCACATGCACATCGCAGTTTCTTGAAAAATATGGAAAGCTTAAAATTATGATTAAGGATACCCGATCCTCAATCAGGAAGGATAACTCTTTAATTTATTATTTAATTCAAAAAGTCTCAAAATGAAGCTTAAATGTGAAATCTTTTCATGCAACAATTTTCATTTTATGCATCTCAATTCAAGGTTCTTTGAAGTTTTAGAAACAGTCTTTTAAAGCCTTGATATTTTTACCCTATAAAGGGATGTTAGAAATACAGATTTAAAGAAATCGACTTTTCCTTTAATTCAGCATGATATGAAATTAGAAATGATTTATGGTGCTTTGCTATTATAGGAAACACTTTTTAAACCATGCATTATAAAATAATTGAAGTACACAGAAGAAACTAAAGTAGTTTATATGTATAAAAATCATGCAATTTTCTTCAAATGCCTGGATGCCTATAGTTTTTTTATTTATCCTAAAATGTTTTTGTTGATCAATTTTCAATTAGAAAATGCATAGTAGGTGTCTTTATTCGCATTTCCTGAAATTTTATTTGAGATTTACTAATTTTTCCTATATATATTATGATTAACTTTAATGATGAAGTTTGAACAATTGCTGTGGGTAAATTCACATAACTTTGAGAAATCAGAGAAATTTTTGTAATCATTTTCAATTATTCAATGCCTGACTTCAGAACCTGAGGATCGGACAACCTTAATGCCTCCCCAACCCACCTCCAATCTGAATTGTTATTGTAATGAGGTAAAAGAATGTATATCGGACTTTTAGAGTTTTTTCCCCTCCTCTTCTTAATCGTTCTTTGGCTGTTATGATTTCTACACATTGATTTCTCGGTTTGAAGATAATCGCTCTTACCTCCCCAGTCCAACAGTCTCTCTCTAGTTTTTTACCCTTCAAAGTGATTTCAAGTTTGTCACTGAATTTTGAAGCTCCTTACCAGTCAATGGATTTTTTCCTTCGGTCTTTGTTTTCTCAATTTTAAACTATCATCTTGCATAGTTTTCCCGTATTAATTTACAATATTCTCCGCTACAAAACCTCATTAATTTTCCATGCTAATTCAACATTCAAGGGGGAACACTTTGTCTAAGTTTGCTTCTTCGTTTCGTCAGAAATTTTGCAGTTTGGGTATACTATTTTAAAAATAGATGTTGTTCAACTTCTATCACATGATATTACATTACAGTGATTGAACATTTCTTATTTTTTTTAACCCGTCCTCTCTCAAACAAAAGGCCTTCAAATGTTCACCATGGCCAAACAAAAACCTTTAATTAAAATTTACAATTATTCCCATGTATAACGTTGATCCCCTATATATGGCCCCATCCTACCATGGGGGGGGGGTGTCCTATCGGGGTGTGTGGGGCAAACTTGAATTTGCACCACTTGAGGATGGTTGCAATTTAATACAGGTAATGCATATTACTAGTCATGGCCCTGGTGTTCTTGAGAGAAAAAAATTAACATTTTTTTCTGTACATTCCAATGCAAAACATTACTTTGATCCCTTATTGTGGCCCCATCCTACCCCCCCCCCCCCGGGGGGGCATGATTTGAACAAATTTGTACTGGCACTACCTGAGGAAAGTTGAGACTTTAATATTACTATTCATGGTCCTCCTATTCTTCAGAAAAAATTTTTAAAACGTTTTCCCGTAGATTCGTAAAACTTTAATCACGTATTGTTGCCCCACCCTTTCCCCGGGGGCCATGATTTGAATAAATTTGATCCCACACTATACGTTTGTCAGGAATCTTCCACATAGGTTTCTTCTTTTCTGTCCTAGTGGTACCTGAAAAAATTTTAACTGCCACCCTTTTTTTCACTATTTCTTGATTATCTCCCCTTGATTCCCCTTCATCCAAGGATGCTTTATGGCAAGTTTGGTTGAAATTGGGCCAGTGGATCTTGAAAAGATGAAATTATGAAAAGTTTATGAACACAACAACCATGACAATAGACAAATTGCAATCAAAAAAGCTTACTTGAGCCTTTGGCTTAAGTGTGCTAAAACCTGCATATCACCCTTATGAACTAATTTAAAAATTGGACTTGAAATTGGATCATTGTAGAAGACATGCCCAACATCAAAACTGGAAATTCTCTGTGGGAAAAAATCTGCTGCATAGATTCAGAGGAAAAGGTTAACAACTGACATTTCAGGGCCCATAACTCCAACAAGTGTGCATAGTTTTTTAATTAAATTTGCAAGCATAGGTGGCTAGATCTTGCCATTATCCCTCTGCAGTTTTCAGTAATTTCAATGGTTTTTGTCCATAATTTTAGCTTTCCAACCATAATTTATTGTTGACAATACATTTTCTTAATCTTTCTATTAATGTACATTGGATAACTTTTAGATGAGAATGATATTTACTGTTACATTATATCCAATTTTTCAGCATGTATCATGCATAAATGGCAATCTGAAAAGATATTAAGTTTTTAAAATTTTAAGTGAATTCCTATCATTGCTGAAGTATTCATACGACATAAAAAGAAAATTTAGCGCACAACCCAAAAGCATAATTTTCCAAGACCAATCCATTACATGTAATAGTAGACAGTTCTGAAATATGATTTTCCACTTTTATTTCTGAATTGTTAGCAAAACCCCTATGTCCTTTAAATAGTAACAAATAGCTCTCAACTTCTTTTATTCTATTAAAATGAGAAGTGGACCATTTGTTTACATATCTGAGCCAGGTAAGCTAAAAATGAAGAAGAATGGCTCTTTTTCCTGGATTTCTTATAACAATTTCTTATTTCAAACATTATATTAACAATTCTGAACAGTCTACCAACCCAATTCTCTTACTGAATTTTAATATATTCCATTAGAATTCGAATTCACTTTCATTGCATTTCCCTTTGGAAAGAAATACTATGTACAAAATAACAAAGATCATATTACATTTTTTTCTTTATTAACTAAAAAACAAAAACAGTATTACAAACAACTAGGAAACAGAACAAAAAATGTCGAGATTCCTTCTACTCGGTGAAAATAATAAAACTCAACAAAAGTAAATAATGCCAAAAATAAGAAAATCTAATTGAACACTAAAACTTATCCAGTGATCTCAACAACAATTACTATCTAATCACAAAAATAACAAAACATTAAATCAGATTCAAATCTGGTTTTAAAAATGTAGATTTTCATCATTATTATGGCAATTCATTATAATACAATATTCAAAAATATCCTCCCTTCAGTTTATAAAAGCTCAAGATTACAACCATTCCAATCTAGTTAAGTATTGAAGAAGAGATTGTCAAGACATTCAAAGTATAAAATTCAAGGAAAATGTTCAAATGCCTTATTTTAAATAAAGAAAGCAATAACATATTTAGATTTCCACTATTCAAGGAAACATGCAAGTGTACTACATATATATTTTATAACATTTTGCAATGGCAATGTAAAACAGAAGAAAAAAAATCTCTGCACCATGTTCTGCATTTGATGTAACATGTAATAATAAGCTCTCTAAAATAAGCACTCTGTACTGGTTATCATCCATACCTTACAACATACACACATGTAACTGAACCAATTCTAGAAAAGGTGTACAACATTTAACCAATGCTGACAATTTTAGGGCCATGACAATGTGTTTAAAATTTCCTAGGAGCAAACTTCACCTTGTAAAATGTCAAAAGTGACATTTTCACAAGATTAAACATAAAGCTAAGTTATATTAATTTTACAAAATTTATAACTCTCACAAAGAGTTTCTGCATGCATTTGACCTATACATTCAGTTTATGTTGAATTCTTTTGTTAATTACACATTACAACACATACACTCCTCTCTTTAAAAGCAATTTCAATTTAATATTTCAAAAAATTTAATACTATAAAAACATTACAACCTCAATAATATGGTTTTGGCAAGAATGATAAAGCACAATACAATTACTGAATGTCAAATTGCATCAATAATGACTATAGAAAAAAAGAAATATTTTTTTGTTTTGGATACATGTTGAATTGCATGATAAGCATAAACTATTATACAATTATTGCTGTTTTTTAGGCCAATACAGCAATATTTGTTTTATTATGATTCAATGATATAACCTTGTTAAGTAAACTTTGCAGTCTTTCTTGATTGTGTTCACATTTGTTCAAGTCTTAGTAAGAGAAGGGGGATTGAAATAAACAAACTTCATTATTTACAGTTCATGCAAGGTAAAATCTCATATCTGAACAAACACAGTATGGTTATTTTGAAACAAATAAACCCAAATAAAATACAAAAATCATGAAATATGGTGTAACGATGATGAAATACGAATTTTTGAATGACTTTGATTTTGAAATGTCGATAAAATTTTATATCATTAATTAATATGGTTTCATCTCCATCTATTCCAATGCATGTACCTAATAATGCCTGTTTACAAAATGATGATAAAATCACAGAATTTTATTTTTGGGCAGTCAAAGTTTTTATGGTCCATTAATGCTCAATAATCAGAGGTACAATTTATTTGAACAAAAATTTCATTTATAAATTACCCCCATCTAGCCCCACCTCAATTACAGACAGGATTTAAATCATAATATCATGAGAAGGAACCAGAAACATTTCTTCCATCTTTGTTCAGAATAGGGTGTGTAGGTGTGATTATGAACACAAGAAATTAATGAATGACTAGTTTCCTCAATTTCTGTTCTGCATTTTTTTATGGAATTTGATAGCATACATAATATATGGCACATTATTGTAAACATTATCTAGAGCACTTTTCTAATTATTTCAAAAAATGAAAATATATTCTGCCTCCTGTCTTTGTCAACAACAAGCAAATTTTTTTTTTTTTCAAAACAGGGCTTTCAGTAAGGGGCAGCTGGAGGCCATTAATATTTCTATGATTGGAATTAACCACCTTCAAATTTCACAACTGGCAAAGTAAACTATTGAATATAATTTTAAAACAGCTAGCCTCCTCAAATGGATAACTTTGCCTCTTCACTTTAAAGTTATTAAAAACCCTGCAAAACATCAAACACAGGAAGACAGGATTGGTTCAAAATCAGTAAGAAATTATGTCTGACTTTTATAATAATAAAACAGATCTGATGAGACAGTTCATCTAATCCTTTGTTGTGGTCCTTTTTTTTGGCTTCAGTTATTGCACTGTTTTGTATTGGAAGAAAGATAACTCTGATTAAAATAAGAAAAAAAAATGTAAGCACCTCAAAATGTATAGTCACAAAAAGGATGTGGAATAAGCAAAAATAAGCTCTTCTACAATATTGCAAATAATTGTTTAGCTGCAGGTAATACACAAAAGAGGAAATTTTATAAAAAATGCAGAAATACATAGTTTCTTGCATATAAAATATAACAAAACAGTTAATAAGTGTGGTTATACAGTTATTTTATGGTTATTCTGAAAGAAGCATATTAAATATCTATTTTACAAAGGGGTGTGTAGGGGGATTAGGGAAAATGGTATTGACTCCTATCCAATTTGGTGAATTGTTTAATTTAAGTTAGCACAACACTTGTGAACTTTCACGCTCAAAATACTTGAACAACATATTAAATTTGGGACTTTTTACGGCAAAGGATTTTCTACACTGTCATGAAGCACTGCTGCCACGTTTCCCTTGGGTACACATCTTCTGAATGCGCTGCACTAACTGTCTACACAGAGGGGGGAAAGGCGTACCATCCCTAAGGTGTAAGATGGCTTTCTGTATGAAGTTGTATGTATTGTTTAGAGTCCTCGGGTATTGCATATTGAAAACCCAGTATGCCGAAAACAATGTTCCGAGAGCAATAGTAAATTCCTCAAATTCTTGGACCACCTCCTCTTCCACAACCAAAATGAACTCATCGCTTTTGAATATGGACCCCTTAGAGATGAGGATAGGGACAATCTTTCCTTTCGGGTCAATCTCATCTTCATTTCCAACTTCTCTCACCATTTCCACAAGGTTTTCCTTCAGTAACAGAGGAAGCAGGCATAATGCTGTCACCATGTCCCAGTACTGTTTCAATGCCAGGTTTTGTTGCTTTGCTGTCTCTGCCTGCTTTAGAATTCCTCCTGACCCAGGTGTCTGCCTTCCTATATCAATGACAGTGGAAGCGTATTTAACACAGTATTCCTGGATCAGGTGATCAATGTCCATACCAGTTATCCTCTGAAATTCAGCCAGCATTTGTCTCCCCTTGAAGAGATAAGGAAAGTGCTCTCTCAGAATGATAACAGCTGGCATCTCCTCTGTGACAAAAGCACGCCTGGTTACAAAAGTTTCATCCATGAACTTGTGAATTTCCTCCTCTGTCTGCTCATTTGAGGAACTTGAGTCGCCCTTTTCAGTCATTTTTTGCTTTTTCTCTGGAGAACCTAAGAGCTCAGATTTGGCTACTTCCTTAGCGACTTGTGTTGATGAACCTGGGACTACCTCAGCCGTCATCATGGCAGCTTTGCGTTTGGATTTCTGCGACATCTTTAATCAATACCTCAATAATCTAAAAAAAAAAAAAGTAAATATATGACACAATTATCACATTTTTTTCTATTTTGAACATTCCTCATTCTTACTGTAACTTATGTTTAGATCTTCTGATTGTATGTTGTTTTATGTCCAATTCGAGAATGTTTCACTCATATAGAGACGTCACCATATGCTCGTGAAGGCATTTACTCGGCATTCATGGCCATGGAGCAGTGAGGGTTCTTAATTGTGCCAACACCTACTGTGACATGACACTTTGGTTTTTAAGGTCTCATCCGATCGACCCGAGACTTTCACTTCTAATGCACAGTGCTTGGCGAAGGAACAATCACTACCCATACTTATGTCTTAGGTTTGATGTGGCACAGCGAACAAGAATCGAACCCGAACCTCCCGAACATGAAGTGAATGACCTACCACTAGGCAATGCTTATATAGAAAACCTAAAAGACATTTGACTGACAAGACCTCTTAAATATGTGAATAAAGAGTCATATTGTGACACCAAGCATACAGTACACATTTTCTTAAGTTAAACATTGTTAATCTCTGATCAGTGTATAGATTGATATAAAGTTCAAATATAACAGCATTGATATGATTAATAAGCAAGAGGCCACATCGCTCACCTGAGCACTATGGCTAGGAAAAAGCAGAAATCAGTTAAGTCTTGAAAGGTTGAAAAGTTTAAATATAAAAGTGGTTTGGGGGTTGTTGTTGTTGTTGTTGATTTGAACTAACTTGAATCTATACTTCATAGGGATGCTTTTGAATTAATATGTCAAATAATGACTTTGCTGTTCTTAAGAAGAAAATTTTTATTGATATATCCTTTGTATAACTATGATCCCCTGTTATGGACCCGCTTATTCTCCTTATGGGTCATGAATTGAACAAATTTGAATCTACACTACCTGAGGATGCTTTCATTTAAATATGACCAATCATGGCTTTGCTGTTCTTGAGAAGAAGATTTTTAAAGATTTTTCCTATGTATTCCTGTGTAAAATTTTGATTGCCCATTGTGGCCCCATCCTAACCCCGGGGGTTATGAATTGAACAAATTTGAATCTACACTACCTGAGGATGCTTCCTTATAAATATGACCAATCATGGATTAGCTACCGGTATTCTTGAGAAGAAGATTTTTAAAGATTTTTCTTATATATTCCTATGTAAAACTTTGGTTGCCCATTGTGGCCCCACCCTGACTCCCTGGGGTCATGATTTGAACAAACTTGAATCTACACTTCCTGAGGATGCTTCCATATAAGTTTCATATTTTCAAGCACAGTGGCTCTTGAGAAGAAGATTTTTAAATGATGCCATTAATTTTTCACGAATTCATAATTATCTCTCCTTGGAAGAAGGCGTGGCTCTTCATTTGAACAAACTTGAACCCCCTTTACCCAAGGATACTTTGTGGCAAGTTTGGTTGAAATTGGCCTAGTGGTTCTTTAGAAGAAGATGAAAATGTGAAAAGTTTATGACAACGACAGACAACGGACAAATTTCGATCAGAAAAGCTCAGGTGAGCTAAACTGTGTCTTCCTCTAGGTAAAACCTTCACCCCCTACTGTGCGCTCTTTGAATCAAGTTACTGTTATAATGATAAATTTATTATATACCCCTCTACAATTAGCAAATACAATAAAACAAAACTTTTGTGAGCAATTAAATCCCTTCTATCCATTAAAAAAAGCATTTTTTCAAGGAACTTTTGATACGCAAGAAAAAAAAACATTACGTATACTGTGTACTATGTCATCAATTTCAGAGAGTGGTAATATGGATTCAGAAAACCACAGTGTGGTGATCCGGAACGTCGGATCACAACGGCATGTACGTGATTGCGTAAAATCAACAGTAAAATTGAGTGATACACAGTAGGGTGTATAATAAATGACTGTTACAATACATCAGCATGTAAAAATTTACATAAAAGCAGTTAAGCAAGAATTATCATATGCTTCTTGTAGGTCAGTTGTCATCCTCATACACAAAACACTTTTTACATACAATTTTCCTCACAGTTACTATATCTAGTTCAAACTTGATACATAGAGGATATTCAATGTTTTGTTGATGAATATGGAATTTATTTCACGAGTGGGACAGGATTTTTTGATATTTTCATGAGTGCGAAGCACGAGTGAAAATATAAAAAAAATCCTGTCTCACGAGTGAAATAAATTTCATATTCATCTACAAAACATTGAATTTTCTGTTTATTACATTTTCTTTGATTTTCCCTTGGCCTCTGTCTTTTCTTAACACAGTGTCATAGGCTTGACGTCACAGTTGAGCGGTTGAGACGTCACAGCAGTTCTGAGATTGAAAAACATTACATAGCATGGCTTTTAGCAACATATTTGGGAAGAAATTTGCAGTTTTAGTATATCAAGTTATTTTCTCTATCTTATGACAGTCCAGAAATTATTTTTTACTTACTTTGATATCCTTTCACACTGTGAGAGAATATCATTTTGGTATCCTTTCACACTGTGAGAGAATATCACTTTTATTCAATAAATAAATCACAGTATTTCACTGTTGAAAATGTAATAAAATTTAATACTTCACAGAAAAAAAGTTTGTTTTACTGCCTCCCAGCCCTTACTCTGGTCTCTATCTCTCAATCCTCCCAACTGATATATATTGACCATGCCTTCTAATGACCAAATAATGAGGCAAAGAAATAATTCAGATGTCATACATGATGTCATACAGTTAGGATGAGATACATCCTGATTTTCTGGAATGGAAAAAACTGACCAAGCATATAATTATTTATGTATATTAGACAAGGAAAAGTGTCAGCAAGATTGGAACTTGAACCCGGAACCTCCCGCCTGTGAGTGCTCTACAGTTGAGCTACTGCGCTGAAATACCTGTTTCCCTCTTCACCCTTTTTTCACAAAAGCTAAATTGAGTTATGCTATAGAATACAGAGTTGTGGAAAAATGCCTTTCATGCCAGCAGGATCGCTTGAAAATACTTATGATTTGTAAAATGCCATCGATATCAGTCACTATGACTGGCATTTTTGTTGTTGTTAGTATCAGCATTTTTTTTAGGATAATTTTCACAGAAAACTTTTATTCCCTTTCACCAGATGCATCCTGATTAGAGCAGCATGACCAATGAGTGGCCCATCAGATTTACTACAGGTGCAAGTCTGAGATAAAAACCTAGAGTTATAGAGAACAACAAAGAAAAATATGAATAGGACAGATGGGTGAAATCTGATGGCTTGAAATGGCAGCCTTTGCACTGACAACAACATTAGTACCAGTTATTTACCAGAGAACTTCAAACATATTTTCATTGTCAGATCAACAAACTTAAAGTGCATGTACTTTAGTCACAACAAATTTTCCTGGTGTTATCTTAAAGTATCTGAAGTTTGTTGACCTGACAATGAAATTTTAGTTGCGGTTCTTGGGTACACATCTACTTCAGTTGTTGTGATTGCAAATTTGCAAGTCATCATCAAGCTCTGATGTTCTTATATTTTGCTTAGTCATTTCCAACACTGAGGTTAACTCCAAAGTAGATAGAACGTTCTATCATTAAAGATGATATTGTCCAACAGACCGCTTAAATGATAGAATTTATTTCATATGTTGCCATGAACTGGGGCAAAAATTCTAATGTAAGTGTATTCTACAAACAATTCAGGAGTCCCAAATGTAAACATGATGTGTAAATTTGAAGGGAGCAAAAAATATTGAAAAAATGTGATTTTTCTTTATACGAGGGCTGTTCGGAAATTATTGAGACATTTTGTATATTTTTCTTTCTAATGAACGTCTTTCGGTGAAAATTTGCATATACGTTTGACAAACATTAAGAATTCATAAAAGCAAGAAATACTTTACAAATATTAAATTTCTTCTCTTCAGTGGTATATAAATGTGTCAATGGTAGGGGTACCCGGCGTAGTCACGAAATCAGATATTGAAAATATGTAACACCAATGTTCAACACCCCGGTGGACCCATAATAAGAGAGAAAATAATTCAATTTATGTATATGATTTTGTAATTTTATTTTGACTTCATGTTGTGCAAGTTTGTTAGAATTCTGATCAGAAATATGGAGATCATTGCGTGGACCCTGGGGTCCACGCAGAAAATATATTAGCGGAGTTAAACCGGATGCCATGGGCTTACGTCAGGCTACGCATGCGCGAGGATGCTAGAGAGTTCGTCTCTAAGACAACTTGCCCGTAGAACAATTCGCCCTTTTCGAATTAGAATATGCCAATCATTGGCAAACCTCGCTCTAAAATCTGCACATCGTATTTATGTATTCTTTGGCGGTACCAAGATCTGAATTTCTCTTTTATACATATATCCTTATATACAAACTAAATTCTATGGTACAAGCATTTTAAATAAGTAGGAAGAACTTATAGAGATAGCGTAACATCTTGAACATGTTGAATTAAAACCACTAGGTTTTAAAAGATAATCTTTGCCATGTTTACCGGCATTAGTTTTGTGCATCAAGGTTTGCAAAATAATTTGATAGGCACCAATCCAAATATAGCTTGATGAAGGCCTGTAGCAATGTTTTTCCATGTCATGTGGGGGAGAGGGAGAAACATCCCAAAAAATTCTGCGTACTATAGATCTGTGCTACACGTGTACCATCTACCTTTCCAATGATAGGATACTTCCGTATAAATCTAGTACAGATGTCAAGTCCCAGCCGTTAAACATTACATGTATCCGATTTTTTTTTCAGTTAAATGACAAAACTATAGGCCAATCGAGAATAAAATATAACAACTTTGCTATGAAAGTACAATCACTCAAAGTAGGCAGATCATTGTAGAAAATATTAACGAAAGGTAAACATGTGCCACCTTTCAGAGTAACCAATGAACTCGTCAATGGATGCATTGACGGTCGTTGTAACAAAAATAGATATGGGTTACACCATATCCAAAATATTCGACTTTTAATTTACTCCAATTTTCACTAGAAAAAAGCTGTACATGTTATGAAACTGGTGTATAGTTCTTCATGTCTGTAGCAAATACCGTCACCAGCCTAAGCGTCACTAGCAAACAGTACACACACCTGTGCTTGCAAGACCACATCTTCTGAGACCTTCTGTCGAGAAGTTACAATTGCAGGTGTTGTATATTAACCATTCCGTTATTTAAAAGAGATGGAGAAAACACACACACACACAAAATTAATCTTTTTTTGTTTTTTTAAATTGATCGAGTTAATCGATAACTTAGCATTGTTTAAGATAACTCGAGACCCTTTAGTAAAGGGGGGGGGGGGGTTTTCTAAGTCACACCACAGGCACTTACATTCAAGCCCGTAGCAACGGTTTTCAAAGGGGGCAACCTCCAAAAAGAGTTGACAAGCAGAAATAAATAAATAAATTAACAACCTGTGCACCACCCTGTAAAATCCTATTGGGGGGGAAGGGGGGGGGGGGTGACTTCATCTAACTTTTCGGTACATTTTGATTTCTTTTAAATGTTTGATTTTCTGTATTTTGAACCTTTCCGCAACAAAAAGTGCGGGGGGAGCTTCAAATGCAAATTAAAACTTATACATTCAAATTCTATCAAAAGATTTTTTAAAAGAAAAAGTGAGCCCCCCTCCCCCATATACTACGGGACATTTTGAACCTTTCTCTTCATTGATTAAAATATCCCCATAATATAAGGAGATAAACATTGTCCTTTACAAAAATTTTGATATTCTTATGCAAAATTTGTACATGACAATTAATTGTCAAGTACAATTTTTGCATAAGAAATACCAAAATTTTTGTAAAAGGATAATATTCTCTTATGGATACTCCCTTTCATGACTTTTTATGCATACTTCTTAAAGTTAGTTACTTTAGAGGATGGTCCAAAAATGGCATAGCCGTACGTTTGTTCGCTGGAATCTTCCGATGATATCAAATTGAAATATTTCATGTTACTTGTGGGTGGTCGAGGCCCGGGACCGGTATTGTGAAGGTACACGGAGGAAGCAATAAGCAAAACTCTATCTGGAGAGCAGAAAGGGCAGAGTATTTAATATTTTATTGAAAATACAAGATTTATATATATATATATATATATATATATATATATATATATATATATATATATATATATATATATATATATATATATATATATATACAAATGTATATATATATATATATATATATATATATATATATATATATATATATATATATATATATATATATATATATATATATATTACAGAGTAAACATTCTCTCTCTCTTCCTCTTTCTGCAAAAAAGGGGGTTCTAACACCCGAAACCCCCCACCCTGGATACACCAATAGAGATTACGATACCTGCACGCTAAAGCCTCTTTTAATTCTGTTGTTAATTTTAAAGGCTAAATTACAATTGTGATAGATACTTAGATCAACATTTCATATTCATATCATTTCAAGGTCATGATTTTTTCTTATCATTACAGCCTAATTAAACAGACTTAAATAACGATGAAAATTAGAAAAAAAGAGTTAACTTAATTACACCTTTAAAACTCACTAAATCTAGAAATTTTCTTTGAATTTCGTTTCGAAACACATGCATATAGTCCACGTATTGCAGTCCTTTTTTAAAGGACAGCAACTTGTTAGAAAAATTAAGTGAGGTAAAGAAATCTGATAACGACGACAAAATGGATTTTGACGTCAAGGCGGAGCTAAAACAATAACAACGAGAAAAAAAAACATGCCTATTAAAGGGTTTGTTACATGTATTGCATTGGTATATATTTTTTTCTAACCTATAATTCAACTACAGTAAAATCAAAAGCTCCGGAAGACCACCAATTTTTACCGTAACGGAATTAATAACGTTGACCCGCGTTGCATAAATCGGCACTGCATGATGCTAAGTCGACTCATCCTGTATAAATGACACGTGAAAAATTTACAATAGTGAAGCAACAGCACACATTTTCTAAAGATTTGTTTAAGAAAAGAGACAGTTTAATTTTTGTAGGGTGTATAATTATGATAATAAAGAAAGAAGAGTAAACGCTTCCCGATTGTTTCACATGCAAAATCATCTCCGGCTGACGTGACGTTAAAATGACATAGCGATGCTGCTCCAGGTCAATAGACATATGCATGTTTATTATTTCACCGGAACTTATCTAATTATCCTTTAAATTAGAAATTTTGTATAATTGTTTTGTTCGTTCTTTATAAAATGTTGACGAATTTTCCTGAAATTATCTCTGCCCTTTATGGAGTTAAAGTAATTGTCTCAATAATTTTCGAACAGCCCTCATATATATATATATATATATATATATATATATATATATATATATATATATATATATGTATATATATATATATATATATATGTATATATATGTATATATATATAGATTATGTTTTGTCGTAGAAGTCATATAAGCTTAAAAAGGTTTGTTATGATCAATTTGGTGGATATTTTCATAATATTGGTGGAAATTTAGCTCGGCCGAGATAAGATATTTTCAGTTCAACCTCCATTTTAATTCTCCAAAAATCGTGCTGGAGTGGATTGGCTCTGCCTCAATTTTGCTACATTGCAACTATATGCAGCCCAGTCCATTAAGAAAACTGTAATATTACTTTTCTGTAATATATGAGATGTTATATTACACTCTTTCATAATACAATATTATGGAAAATGTCTATATTATGAAAAATTGTAACATAGATAATGTTGTAGAAATATCAAATTAAGCTTTAAAAATGCTTTATTATAAAACATTTGTTTTTTCACTTTTGTTTTAATTATTTTAAAGGTGCAGGATAAGAAATAGTACAAAAATATTTCCTTAATTTTTACTTTCTTTGACATAATGCACACTTGAGATGTAAATATCTCCCTGAGCCAATTTTTTTTTTTTTTTTGGGGGGGGGGGGGGGGGGGTAGGCAGTAATTTTCCTTATAGTTTGAAGAAGTCCTAGTGACCTGATACTTTGTGTGACTGTGTCCTCCCTCGTTTTGCTCCAACCATCATGTTTCTTTCAAAGTGTAACTAATGCACGAATGATCGTCCAATAATCCTGTATAGTGCCAGTCTAAAGGCTTAAATAAGACTTAGACTTATGATACTCCTTAAGTTATTACTTTACTTCTTATAGTCATACGTACAGTATAAGTTATGTACGTTAGCTAGAATTCGAAGCATCATATTTATTTTTAAAATGGGGGAGATAACTCGTATTTACACTTCACATGTATTATAGAAAATAGTAATATTACAGTTTTCACAATGAAATGACCGATATGGGACACATTCAAAATGTAGTGAGAGCTTGTCCAGAGACACATTACTCTAACTATATACAGACTCTCAAGAGGATCTGGATTAAGGATGCAGATGAGGATGGCTTATCAAGGAAGAAAGTTCATTAGAATGTAGCTAGAGTGCACTATAGAGGTACTTTTTCCGTGTGGGATTAACTAACGCTCTATACGCGGTGATAAGTTCTTCTGCGGAAATTTGTCACAGCGTACTTAAAATCCAAGAAATACACAAAATTTCAACAGAAATTGTGATTTGATAGAATTAAGACCCTTTGGAAAAAGTTAATTTATGATATAACAATGTTTATTAAAAGAAAGTAAAGAAAAAATATATAGTATATAATTTTGTTTTATTTGTAGTTTTGTTTGTGACCTAAGTTTTGAACTGGCTTATTTTTGCCTCTGTCGGTCCGAATGACCAATTATCTAAAAAAAAAAATCCACACCTCTGAAGTATACATGTTAATTGTACACATATCAATTGTACAGGAACATTCTAGTTTGTTATCCATTGAATCCTATCACAGGGATTTTTGTTATCAGAATTATTATCATGAAATATGTATATACTGTACGCCTGCAGGGGCTGACAAATCCCATTGCCCGATGCTCGGCCGGGGTTAGTGAATTTTAGGGGTGGGCAAGTGAAATTTTATCAATCACTTGCTCGTGGGCAAGTGACTTAAAAAAAAAAATTAAATCCACGTGTAAGTCATAAAAATAAAGCTAGACATGCACACGGGCTTGCATGATCTACTCAGAATTTGTCTTCCTATTTTTTGAAATATATATATATAAATATATACAGTATTAGTTTATGGTCATGATGGTGGGGCAAGCAAAAATTCAGGAAGGGCAAGTGAATTTTGACCATGCACTTGCCCTTGGACAAGTACCTAAAAAATCTATTTGTCAGCCCCTGGCATGTAGTCGACATTAATAAATTATGCTCACAAAGTCACATCACACTTGTCACCGAGTCTGATCTCAACAGTGATCGTCATGATTATGTCAAAGATTAATTGAATGGCTTCGATACTAAATATTTTTCGTTTAACTTATGAGAGAAATGATTTTCAATATCTATTGTCTAAAATGCTGGTACGACTACAATTATTATTGTGTGCTCATGACAGACAGCAGACTGGAGTCCTGTGCAGTGTTTTGTCTGCAAACTAACCATGCGTATCAACCGATAAAAATAATTGCTTAAATGTGTTGTGTACTATAACACATGTCTATTGATATCAACCTGTATTCATAAATTGCATCTGACGCAGTTGACATCCCATCCCTCAAACGGCCATTTTCCCTCGGATTCTGAAACATCTTCAAGCTCGGCTACGCATGAGGGATTTTTGTGGACTCAAACCTTCAAGATTTTTCAAACCGGATGAAACGGAGAAAAAAACAAAACAAAACCAATTTCGAGTTAAAATATATTATCGAACAATTGTGCTGAACGTTTTGTTGATTAAATATATTTATTTAGAAATTTTTTTTTTTAAATTCTTAATCGTCATATATCGAAATACCTGGCGAAAATTTAAAGTGGTTAAAAGTGTGCTTGTGGAAGGGGGATGGGGTGTGTGTGGAATATTATGGTTATTATTTTTGTGACAGACTCATGTTTTTATATATTATGCACATGTCATAGCAATGCATACTGCATGTGCATTTATTCATTGATCTAATTATGTATATATTTTTATTTGCAGCACACTTCTACAGCTGAATTAAATAATTATTCATTTAATCTGTAGTAAAGTGTATTGACTTTTAAATTGTTCTTTTCCAGAGAGGTCCAGAGTTAGCTTCAGGGCCTGTAATTATATTCTGGCCAAGGTCATTTTGTATCTTTTAATTTCATTGGTATTTTTAGTTTGTCTCATGCTTTTGGATTGGGTTTTGTTTTTCCCTCCAAGTTTTCTTTGTGTTTTTGGTTAATTCTGATTTAGCAGTGGAAAGTTATGGTCATGTCTTGGTGACTCAGTTTTTCATATACCATAAGACCTTTTGACATTGAGACTTATATTTCCACTTGCATGGTAAGCAATTCTTTCATACTAATGTTAATATATTATTCTAATTTTATTAAATGTGAAGTCTGTAATTTTGCACTTAATTCCTAAAATCACTTTTCCTAGAGTAAATGAATAGTGAGAGTGAGACTGTGGATATAAAGTTATGTGTAAATAGTAAATTCATGGATGTCTCACTTTTTCATATTTTTAAAGTAAACTTTATTTTATGCTTGGTGTAGATATCTACAAAGTTGTTCATTGTTAATTTGTAGATATTGATCTGTCTCTATATTGTATGCAGCTTATATGTGCTGTAGTATGGCCCATTCCCATTGAATGATATGAATAATATTGTTTTTATGAGCAACAATAATTAATAATGTACATATACATTGTCAAGATAATTATTGTAAAGTTTTTATGATTAAATATATATTGATTAAAGAAATGGGAGATTTGATTGTGTATATTTCATATAATTGGATTATCTCCCTTTGATTCTGATAACGCTATATTGATTGTATATTGATCAATAAGTCTATAATTTTTATGCTGCATATTTATAATTTGTTATTTCATTACAGGGTTTCTTCACTTTAATTACTTTTCCATCACTATTGATCCATAATAAAGAAATCCGTCTTGGTTAAAACTCGAACCAACAGCCTTGTTGTTTTTCATCATATTATCATCAACACAAGTCTGTTACATTTTCAATTTCATCTATAGATTCACCACACATGATACAAAATTAAAATTCTATTAAAGTATTGTGTCTCTGTTTTGTTTACTGAATTAGCTCTTCTATCCAGCGATCACCTTTAAAGGCACTAGACCATTTTAAAATATACCTTACCCTGCAAGTTATATTAGGTTCTTGGGAAATATTTATTGCATAAATCTCCCTAATATATTTACAGCTAGTTGGTATCTTAAAACATACAAATGTAGAAGGTCCTTGTTTTTAGTATCTTTTCATGCAGTTTTTTTTTTTTTTTTTTAAATTTTTTCATCGTCCAGTGAATTCTTTTATGTCACTGTGTTACATTGTAATTACTGGTTACATACAATGATACATGTACTGTTGATCTGTAGTCCTACCTTCTACAGTCTCAGAGGACTCAGGTTATCTTCATTTATGAATACTAAAGCCCTATAATAATAATAATAATAATAATAATAATACTGAAACAGAATTTTAATAGAATTTAATACAGAATTTTAAACATTTCATGTCATACAATGTCCAAGTAAAGAGGTTATTCAGGAATCGATTCGGACAGTCCTGAGCGCATCTGCATCTGCAGTGTTTGGTAGGTTCAGGTGCATTCTGGGTTTCTCAGTCATTCTACAAAAACATGAGCAATTACGAATTGTTTATGTCGCATGCAAATTTACCGTTGTAATATCTTAATTATAAATTTAAAGGTCGATTTCAACTCTAAGACTTAAAATACACACATGGTTTTGTAAATATTCACCGATATATATGCAGTTAAAGTTTTGATATGAACATAATGTAATGTTGAAACACGTATTCCACTGCAAATCTTCATGTCGCTTCATTTATATACAAATTTCAAGATGAAATTTTCAGCCGTAAAATCGTTCCGAATAGAGTGCAATCAATGTTAAAAAATGTCTTTTATCCTATATAAAAAGAAATCAAACCACTTCTCGCAAAGAAATGCATAGATCTCCTTTCATGCGAATTTATAAGCATGTCGCTTAAAATCGATTAACTTCCGTAACGATTTTGTTTTAAATTTCACGCATAGAATGCAGATTTCAAAAAGAACTGAAACTTATCTGAAAGTGACCATGGAACCTTATATAATAGATTCTAGTTGCGAGTCAGCTATTTTACACGATTACATTTTCGACATAACAAAATGAATTAGACAAAAACAGTTGTCTCTCTTAAAAATTTAACTTCCGTAACGGTAATTCAGGAAATTTTTTGCGTTTAAGGTATAAAATTTTTGATTATTTTGGGAGCGAAATGGTTCATACTTTTGTTTAATATCCTAAAACAAACTTTGATTTTAACTATTAAAGAGAATTTTAACTTTTATTGCTGGGAATTAACTTCCATAACGATTCACTTCCGTAACGATATTTTTCCCGAAAATTTAATTCAAATTCGGATTCAAGCGAGACTTCATGAATCATACTTTAGCGTTCTTTACTGAACATCAGAAACGAAAAATTGGTCAAATTCAGCTTTATTTAAAAAATAATAAGGCTTGATCAAGCATTAACTTCCGTAACATTACCTTAAAATCAATGGTATCTTGAAATTGTTGTAAGAAGTTAACGATACCAGATTTGTGGACAATTCTTTGTTTTCAATTTCACTGATAGGTCCTTTAGAGAATTATGATGTTGATTTTGCTATTTGAAACAATTTCATGTTTTTTACTCTGAATTGGTCCATTTTTCGTAGAATGACTGTTCTTTTCTTTCAGTTTCTCAAATATTAAACAAATATTACTTTAAAAAGACGAATTAATTTCTTTTGTTTCAAAAATGATTTTAATTTTTTTTTCCAAAGGGGATGCAGTTGCACCCACTATCCCACAACGTTTGATATTAAATGATAAATATATACTGTTAAAGTAGTTTTCACATAGGAATGCACATATCATTAGCGTAACCGTTAGCACTTTTTAAAGAGGGTTGGTAGGTCATATTATGGCCAATTTTAGATTATTTAAACCTCCTGGAAATTAAAGAAGAGCTCTGTTTACAAATATAGGAAATTGCATCAAATATTACTGGAACATTTTTTTGTTTTCTTTACTAAATAATATTTCATGTCTATATAAAAAATCATATGTTAGGTGGATCTGTTTGGTAATTCATTGACCTTTCAGCCTCCTTGAAAAATGACTTCATGAAAAAATATCGGATCACAAACTGGAAAGAGTAATGTAACAACGCTACAGGTATATGTATCTTTCTAGCTTTCTTGTATACTAGTACTTTATTATTCGAGTATAAACTGTAATTTGCCTATTCAGAGAATGTATCTAGCGACCCCATATCAAGGTCATTTGGGCAAGCTCATCCGTGGTAGAGAGGAGACATTGAGAAGATGGAATGAACACTTAATGTAGAGATTCTCAAAATAGACAAGCCAGTATAAGACATGTCAGATGAAGAAATTATAGAATCACCTATATCAGAGATAAACTTCGGTGAACTATAATACAGAGAAGTAAAAAGTGCTATCAAAAGCCTAAAAAATAGCAAGGCACCAGGAATAGACTCTAGCACAGCGGAAGTACTGAGAGTAGGTACAAAATTTACAACAAGAAAAGTGAAGAATCTTCCTGATAAGATTAGGAATAAGGAGAAAATACCCGAAACATGGAATGAGGGACTCATCATTAAGTTATACCAAAGACAGGGAGTCTGAAAAAAAATGTTAGAATTGGAGAGGGTTCGAAATTCACTTTACTCTCTATAGTGAGCAAAGTCCTAGAAAGAATCATAATTGATTGGATCAGAGAAGGAATTGATTCACAGCTACGGAAAGAACAAGCTAGTTTTCGGAAGGGAAGAAAAACTTCTGAACAGATCTGTATGTTGCGTAACAGCATAGAGTACATAAATGAATTACAATTATAAATAAATTTCATTGACTTCGAAAAAGCCTTTGATTCCATCCATAGTAAGAACTTGTGGAAAATTATGAAGATATATAGAATTCTAGGAAAGCTGATCAGCCTCATTAAAGTGTTTTATAGAGATTTCAAATGTTGAAAGATGAAGGGAGACATTGGAATGATTTGATGAGAAAACAGAAGTGGAACAAGGCTGTAATATGTCTTGTTTTTTTTTTCCATTCCTGATATCAATGGATTGGATAATGAGGAGATAAGTGAAGAACGGAGAGACCGGGATACAATGGAGTTTTAACAACAAATTGGACGATTTACATTTTACAGAGCCTTATTTACAACACAAGTTCGAATCCACTGTGGGACATGGAGGGCGGTCCTTCGGATGAGACCGTATAAACCGAGGTCCCGTGTCGCAGTTGAAGATCCCTCACTGCTCAATGACCCTAAGTGCCGAGCAAAGGTATAAATTTGCAGCCCTCCACTAGTGGCGTCTCCATGAGTGAAGAATTTTCTAGAAGGACGTTAAACAATAATCAAAAAAAAAAACAAAAAAAAAAAAAAAAAAAAAATGACAAGTATAAGGGCTTGAACAGTGTGGACACTTTTCTCTAAATTAGCAGGTCTGGGTTGTATTCCTTTTGGTCCGAGGATTTTGTC